AGCCCACCAGATTGAGTCCAGTCCACCCAACCAGATTCGATATTATTGGGGAATGTAGGCTTTTCTCTCTGGTAAGATCTCTGTATAACAGGCACACAAATCACCTGCCAGCTGCAGCTCCACTTGCTTCACAATTGAACTGGGCACATAGAAGAGTCCTGCAGGTGGCGCATTACTTTCATAGGGATGCTTTCCTCTCCCCTCTTGTTACCAGATGGGTGTAGCTGGCATGGTGGAGACTATCTCCGTCAATTGCTCCTGAACTATTGTGGTTGCTGTGCCAGCTGGGTGGAGGGCACGCCCAATAATTGCTGGGGCGTTTACATATGTCAGGGGCGCGGAGAGCTGCAGGGCTGTGGGCGGTGAGAGGCTGCCTGCCTGTCCCGTTATAGACTAGTATTTTGATCCCCTTTACAGCCGAGGTCTGAAATAGCCCCCCGACGGGTGCGGCAGCTGCCGCCGAGTTGGGGAAACTTGGGACTTGCAGTGGGTTGGGGAGGGGGCGCTTTGCTCTCTGCTCCGCGCTGAGGGCCCCGCCTTCGCTGCCCGAGCAGGTAAGCGCAGGTGTCCCGCAGCCCCTCTGCGCGGGGGGTGGGGTGCCCCGCCTTCCGGTTCCGGGGAGGGGGATGGCGGACGGCGGAGGCCCAGAGCCAGCCTTCGTCTGCGGTCAGGCGCCCCAGGAGCGCGCAGGTGCGCGAGCCCAGGTGAGCCTGATGAGGACCCCTGGCGCCCCCGACGGCGGAGGGCCAGCAGGTGCAGGTCTAGTCTGCCTGCCTCAGCTGTTTCTCATCGCGCGCCAGGCAGAGGTATTTTGAAGCAGATGAGAACATGGCTTAACCCTCGTGACCTCCCGCACCCTGCCCCCAGCTGGTCTCAACTCTGGGGCGTCTTTATTTGGTTACCTGCTGAGTAGCAACGAGGACTTCAAAAATAGACGGGCAAGGGCTCATCTGAGACCCAGGAATTCTCAGCCCCACCCTGCCTTCCTCTCCTGCGCGATTTTCCAGGCACCCTCGTGGAAGTCCGTGCCACCTGCGTGGGGGGCCAAGTGCCGGCTGCCGGAGGAGCACAGGCCGTCCCTGGGTATGGTGATGGCTGAGTTGAGTGCCTGGCTCCTCAGAGCCACAGGGAGGCTGGCTGTGTGAGAGGCTGGTGAAGGAGACTTGGGCGTGAAGTCCAGGACCCTTTGGGGTGTGGGTCTCCGGGAGGGCTATGATTGGGGCGGGGCACAGAGTAGGGAGCTGGCGGGACCTGAGGATGAGGGTGGCCTTCATCCTGAGGACCTGGGCGTCACTGGAGTGCTGCACGGGACCATGGTGTGGGTTGTGAGGGGAGTTGGCAGAGTGCGGGGCAGGCCAGTCTGGAGGTGCGAGTTGGGCCTCTGCTGGTCCCTACTCACGGCCACAGGTTAAACAAAGAGAAGGGAGATCAGAAAGGCATGTGAGGCCCTAGCTGTAGATGGCCACAAGATTAATTTTTTTCCTATTTAATTCAGACGCTGGGAATGCCAATCCAGACCAGAGAGGAAGCACGCAACCGGAGGGGTGGAATCTGCTACCGGAACTGAAGAGAGGTGCTCACCCGTGGTCCAGCAGCTGAACTACAAGTGCCATACCCTGGATAAGGACTCTCAGGGGCTCTCAGCTCCCAGCTGGCCCAGTAATGAAAACCCCAGCTCTGGCCAGTGCTGCCTGCAGCACCAGCATCCCATCTGGCACCAGTTCCTCTCCTGGCTGCTCGCCTCCGTATCTAGCTCTCTGCTTATGGCCTGGGAAAGTGGTGGAAGATGGTCCAAGTACTTGGGCCCCAGCACCCATGTGGGAGACCTGGAAGAAGCTCCTGGCTTTGGATCGGCCCAGCTCTGGCTGTTCCAGCCATTTGGGGGGTGAACCAGTGGATGAAAGATCTCTTTCCCTCTCCTCTCTGTCTGTAACTCTGCTTCTCAAATAAATAAATAAATAAATCCCAGTTCTCTGCACAGACCCTCCCCCAGTTTCTCTGGGACGCCCCTGTAGGCTGGAGTTGGTTCCTGGGTGACCCCACTGCAGATGGCACTGTTCTTGCTGACCCAAGCAACTTAATTCAATCAAGGTCGGAAGACCTGGGGACTGCTTCCACACAGCCCATCACCATGATGGCAAGACCCCTGATTTCACAGAGAGGAAGGGTGCAGTCAGTCCTCAGTGTGACTCCCAGGTAGGGCCCCCCACGGCCTGTAACAAATGACCACAAATTCGTGTACTCAGAACAATGTCAGATTGTCTTACAGTTCCAGACTCCGCAGTTTGAAACAAGTGCAGCAGGGTTAAAATTCAAGGTCTAGGCAGGTCTGGTTGCTCCCAGAGGCTGCAGAGGAACACCTGCCCCGCCTCTCCCAGCTTCCAGAACTTTCCTGCATTCCTCGCCTCCAGGACTGCAGCTTCTCGCTTGCCTTGCTAACGTTCCCACCTTTGCAGTAAAACCTCTCTCTGCCCCCCTTGTAAAAACTCATGAGCACCTGGAGCCCAGCCAGCTGTCCTAGGATAATCTTGTCCTGCATTCGTTAACTTCAGAACATCAGCAAAGTCCCTTTTAGCACATAAGGGGACATCGTCACAGATCCTGGGAGTTTGGACAGGGACATCTTTGGATGGAGGCCACCACAGAGCCTTCCATCGGCCCCAGTGCATCGCAGTCTCCCGTAAGCTTTGCCTCCTCTTCCCCTGGGCCCGTCTCCCCAGATTCACATGCCCAACAGCAGTGCCTGTCATTCAGCAACACGCACCAAGCATGTGACAGTGACATGAGGAGCCGAGGGGGATCTACATGGCAATGGTAATTCCACAAGCTGGTGCGTCCTATCCCTTCAGGTGGGGGTGAGCACTGAACAGGCTGAGGGGCCCTTGCTAGCACCTGCTTTAGCTAAGGTGGTGGCAGAATCAGGGAAGGCCTCTTTGAGGAGGTGTCCTTTGAGTGCAGACCTAAATGGAGAAGCAGACAAGGGAGGTCTGGAAGAGAGAAGTCCCCGTGGACAGGGTCCAGGGGTCCTGGCCTGCCCTTCCCCCCTCTGCAGGCAAGGCCTCTATGTCCTGCCTGCCTTCCCTTCTGCTACTGCAAGGAATCTGGGATGAAAACTCCTGCTGGGCCTGTGTGGATGGGAGGGCTGCCCAGCATCTTTACCTCTGAGAGCCCCAGGCTCCCAGGGAGTTGGGCTCACACACATCGCCCACTGCTTCCCGGCTTCTCCCGGCACGAATCTCTTCATGCAGTGGGTCCCCGGCCTGGGGCGTCCCCCACCCCCACCACAAAAAAGAGGCATGCTGGGAGGCAGCCACTTGCTTTTCCATGTCTGTGATGAGAGACCAGGGGGCTGCAGGCGGGCAGCAGGGGCTTCTGGAAAGACAATTCCAGAAAGGTCGCTGTCTCCCGTTCTTCCTGTTTCAGCCTCTCCCTGCCAAGACGCCAAGTTGTGCAGATCTCCAAGAATCCGCATCTACGTCATCATTCACAGCAGACATGCGGCTAACTCAGGATGAGGACGTGTCCCCACACGACTTCAGTTCTTCCCATGTCTGTCACTGCACTGCTGCCACACAGGTGAACATCAAGGACTAACTTCGGGTGATTGCCAGGCACGAGTCACAGAGACGGAAGCTGGGCTCTGTCTGTTAGGGGTCATCTGCTCAGGGCTGGCCTGGATTCTTCTCAAGTCTCAGGACTGCCAGGCTTCCTCAGGCTGCCCCAGACCCCATCAGCTCCTTGCACCCCGTCTTCTTGCTGTCAGCCATGCAACTGTCTCCCTCATTGGCCGGCTGCCTCCCTCATGCAGGCTCCCTGGACGACAGCTCTCTCATCTCTTTCTGCCACCAACAGAGAAATAAACAGTTTTTTCAACACTCTCCTTACGTGTTCAGGTCCCTTGTGCTGTATAACAGAACACAATCATGGCGTGGAATCTCCTCCCATCCTAAAGTTCTGGGGATGAGGGAAGACATTTCCTGGGGGTCCTCGCTCAACCTGCCGCATCCTATTTAAAAATTCTCCCTTATCAGCATTTGTAATTCATTGGTCATTAGAAAGATTCTTCATTTCTGCATTTCCATTTGACTTTCCATGAAGGCAGAAGACATTTCTTCTCCCTTCTATGTTCTCACAGCTGGCATGGTGCTTGGTCTGCGACACCTGTGAAATGTGGCAAGAAATGGGCAGAGGAGTGGCCAAGTGGGGAAGGAGCCACACGCCAAGCGACTCCCATGGGGCCGGTCAACTGTTAGCCCCATAGGAGACTGACATTTTAAGATGCACAGGACTGAAAGGTTAAAAATTATGAGAGTTGCAAGCAAGTGACGGGACCAGGTGGACATGGCTGGACGGGACCCACTGTCAGGAGTTCCAACCCCAGACACTCATGACTACTTTGGGATGAGAAGAGTGGCAGGATCAGAGAAAGGCTTTGGATTGGAAGCCCACTTCTGCCTGGAGTTAGTGGGAAGTCCTCGGGCCCTTCCTGGACTGCTCGCCCACTCCTTGCACCATCTGCAAGTGCAGGCTTGAGGCTCCCACTCTCAAGGACAGGGGCAGAAGGGCAGTGAGGAGCTGGCACCCAGACCCGGCGGGTCAGAGGTGCTGTTGAGTGGCCGCTGGGTAGACTTGCCAAGGGCAATGAAAGTAGCCAGGTGAGTAATATTTCCCATCTCTTGGATTCCTATCAGTCTTCTACTTGAAGAAACGAGACAGAAGACAGTGAAATAGAGACATGAGGTTGTGCCCAATGAAGAGACTCTGTAAGTAGCTTGTGGGCGCCTCAGAGCTTGTTTTTAAACGGGGTATGATGTGGGTGTTTTGCACAGAGGATGATGGCACAGCTGCTTGGGGCACCCACATCCCGAATCAGAGTGCCTGGGTTTGAGCTTTGCCTCTGCTCCTGATTCCAGCTTCCTGCTATTGAGCAGCAGGCGATGGCTCAGGTACTTGGGTCCCTGTCACCCACATGGGAGAACTGGATTGAGTTCTGGGCTTCCAGCTTCAGCCTGTCCTGGCCGTGGGGATTATGGGCATTTGGGGAGAAAATCAGCCATGGAAGATTCTCTCTCTCTCTCTCTCTTTCTCTCTTTGTCTCTCTGCCATTCAAATAAAAATTTTAAAAACATTTAAATATGTTGTGTTGTGGAGATGCATAGATGTCATTTGAAGAGTGGGGTGCACCCAGCATTGGGGGTGTTTCCCCAAAGTGGGAGCACACTCTCTAGACATCCCATTCTGTAGGTTGCTATTTGTCAGCTAACAGCTTATCTCGGGCACCTGTCAGAGTCCGTCCATTTGGTCCCACTGCATCCCCTTCATGGCCACCATGCATTGCACTGCTTGTCCTTGCATTCTGCTAACACCAGTGCCCTATGTGTGTCAGCCACCACGCCAGGCAGGGCTCCCCTAGGCTTGCAGTGTGGAGGGACTGCAGTTTCCTTCATGGTTCCTCATGGGTCAGGAGGTTATCTCTGCTTTTGTTTCCAGTTAAAACACACCACAACAACTTACTGCGTGTATATCACTCGGCTGTGCACCCAGGTTTGTGTCTGTTGGGGCGGGGTGGGGCTTCTTAGCAGAGCAGCAGCCCTGGATGGTAAAAGGCTGTGCACACTCACATTTTAATAGACATGCTTTTTCTTGGTTCTTTTAAATGTTAAGGCTAATGGACAAATACAGCCTTGCAATAGTGCCTTGTAGTTGTCATGGTTAGCAAGGCTGTTACCAGAGTGTCAAAGAAAAACACCTGCTGGCAAGGATGCAAATTAGTGCGGCCAGAATGGAAACCAGTGTGGCGATTCCTCATGGGCTCTACCACATGACCCAGCTCCCCCACTGCTGGAAACGCAGCCAAAGGGGATGAAGCCAGCGTGTGGAGGAGATACCTGCGCCCCCACGTTTGCTGCAGCATGAGTCCCAACAGAAAGATACGGCATCCACCGAGATCATCCGTGGGTGAATGGCTTATACACAGCAGATTTACGTGGCTTATACACAATGGGATTTTACTCAGCCAAAGAAAAGAATGAAATCCTGACATGAACATCAAAGTAGGTACAATTGGAGATAATTACCCAACTGGAAGAAGCCAGGCACAGAAAGACAAATACTACATGCTTTCTTTCCTATGTGGAAGTCTACATATGTAGTAAAAAGGTGTATAACGTGTCATTTGTGCTCAGACATTCATAAATGCTGTCTTCACTGAACTACACCCCTCATATAATAACACAGCCTTTTCTTTTCCTCACTTTATGGTCTTTGCCATGATTTCCACTTCTATGAAACTAATATATAACTGTTGCTTTCAAGAAAAATGGCATGTGTACCTGCATGTGTATATATGTATGTTTGCATGTGTATGTGTGTACATGTATATATGTATGTGTGTGCACATATCTATGTGTGCATGTGTGTATGTATTTGTGCGTGTGTGTGTGTGTCTGTGTGTGTGTGTTAAAGAAGAATTGAACAAAAAGAAAAGACTTCACCCTAGTCAGGACCAAAGCTAGGGGTGGAGTGGGCTTTGGAGCCCTGAGTCTGATTTATAAATGGATGACATAGGAGGCCGGCGCCGCGGCTCACTAGGCTAATCCTCCACCTTGCGGCGCCGGCACACCGGGTTCTAGTCCCGGTTGGGGCGCCGGATTCTGTCCCGGTTGCCCCTCTTCCAGGCCAGCCCTCTGCTGTGGCCAGGGAGTGCAGTGGAGGATGGCCCAGGTGCTTCGGCCCTGCACCCCATGGGAGACCAGGAAAAGCACCTGGCTCCTGGCTCCTGCCATCGGATCGGCGTGGTGTGCCGGCCGCAGCGCGCCGGCCGCGGCGGCCATTGGAGGGTGAACCAACGGCAAAGGAAGACCTTTCTCTCTGTCTCTCTCTCTCTCACTGTCCACTCTGCCTGTCAAAAAAAATGGATGACATAGGAATTTGGGGGTCTCAAGGAGCGGCATGTACGGGGTATCTACCGTCTGCTGAGTACTGCTGTCAGCTCGGCCATCACGTAAAGGACTCAAACCAGGGGCTACACAAATAAGCCTGAGGCGAATGAATGGTGAATCTGTGATGGGGAGCCCCTTCCCCACTGTGACAGTGAGGAGAGCCTGGCCCCTCACTGCCAGACAGTCCTGGGTCCCCAGGTCCATCAGTGTCCATGGGCAGTGATGAGGGTGAAGGCCAGCATGCAGGGTCACCTCCTGTCACAGGTCCTGGCCGAGTGAGGGCTGGGGTCGTGGCATAGAAAAGTAGTGACTGAGTCTCCCAGAGACAGTCCTGGCTACTTGGAAAGGCATCACCCATCCCTACTGCATGAGAGAAATAAATCCATGTTCCTAAATGGCGTGGCTCCATCTGCATTAT